CTCGGTGAGCTGCATACGACCAAACACCATCTCACATTTTTTTTAGCCAAGCATCAGCTACAATGGGTCCTCTATCTCCAGAGAATTTCTGACCTCCCAAATAACGAAAGTCTTTGTTTCTCTTCACAAAGGGATCTCCCTGCTGGCCTTGATTATTGTTCTAAACAACCTGAAGTAACTGAACCATCATCTCCCTCACATTAACCTGCACCGTATTGGTTGCCTCGGTAGCAGTCGCCGCTGCTGCTGTGTTAGCAGATGTTTCTTCCCCGATGCCATTAGGCTCAACGCTTCTCAAATTATATCTTCCCGCCATTACCTTCAAGTTAAACACACAAAAATTCATTCATGAATACTTAGAATAAATTCAACCACCAACCTAAACCAGCTAACCCATGTTTCCACAATCCGAGGATCACCTAAACTCTCACAAGTCTAGGGTAACCTAGAGCTTTGATACCAAACTGTCACACCCTAAAATTTGGATGATGGAATATTAATTGGGGTTTAGTTCTAATTTAATATTTAATTGTCCAAATTTTGGGGCGTGACACATATGCCCAGAATTGAGAAAAGAGAGCACTGCAAAAGTAATGGGGACAGAAACCATGTGCCAACATTTTTGAAAAAAGATGGGTGGTGTGCCATCAGGACCAAGTGCTTTGAGAAGACCTATTTGAAAAACAACATCCTTTATCTCACAAGCTGAAAAAGGTTTGTTTAGAAAATCAATTTGGGCAGGAGATAAAGATGACTGGACATTTATGGTAGGAAACTGTTGATCAGAGGGATCCTTACTAGAAAAGTAGAAATCTTGGAAATAGTCGAAGAAAGTATTTTTGATTTCCTTTTCATCATGAATGACAAAGCCAGAAAGAGACTTTATATGTCAAATGTGATTTTTAGACCTCCTTAATCTTATCATTGAATGAAAAAATGTCATGTTTTTATCCCCCAAAGCTAACCAATGGACTTTAGCCCGTTGAGCCCAAAAAGTTTCTTCACAATTCCAAAGAAAATCCAACTTAGCTGTAAGAGATTTTTCAAATGCAAGGAAGGAAGCAGAAAGATTATTTTGAACACAAGAAAGCTTAGATGGAACCAATTCAATTTGAGAAGAGAATGAAACATTCATATCTTTACCCCATTTAGAGAGAACATTATTTATGATTTTAAGCTATTGAACGACACGAAATAGGGGAGAACCATGAATAGGTAGAGACCAAATGAATTGGATGATTTCAAAGGAGGAAGAGTGGTGAAGCCACCAAGCTTCAAAATAAAGAGGTCTAGGGAAACTATACAAAGGTGGTCTCGTATTAATTGAGATGGGAGCATGGTCAGACCGAAAAATACCATGATTGGCCATAAAGGCTCTAGAAAATAAAGCTAACCAAGCTTTGATTACGCCAAGCCCTATCAAGCCTTTCAAAAGTGCATGCCTCACCATCTTTGTTGTTAGTCCAAGTAAACCAAGAGCCACAATTTTTAAGTTCCAAAAGGCCACAATTATCCAAAAGAAAAAGAAGCTTCCTGGAACACAAAAGGCATTAGCCCCCCATTTATCCTCATATAAGAGGACTTGGTTAAAGTTCCCACACAAGAGTAAAGGACTGGAAAAACTCTAGATATGAGAGGAGATAAAAGACCAAACTTGGGGTCTATCTACCAAATTCAGATGACCATACACAAAACCAATATGCCAAGAGAAACCTACTTCATCTAAGATTTTAGCAAGAATAAAATTGGGAGAGGACACAAGACAAGAGAGTTTGGGATAAGACTTCCAACCTACCCAAAAACCTCCACTAAGCCCAATGGGATCAACTCCAAAACAATTAAAAAATCCAGATTTAGAAAACTTAGGTTATACAGAAATCAAATTAGGTTTTGTTTCCATAAGAAATATTAGATTAGTAGCATGAAAGAGGATCAGTTTAAATGTAGCTCGAACTGCCAAGGGCTGACCCAAACCCCTACAGTTCCAGCTTACAGTTTACATTGGGTTAAGTGGGGTTGTTATGGGACAACCACCGAAACCCTAGTTGGATTCAAAAGGGATAAGAAAAGAAGAAGGGAACCAAGACAAGGGCTAAGGGGACAAAGAGAAAGACAAGGAACCAGAATCAAAACAAAAGGGAAAATCGCAAAGATCTAAAATACATAGAGGAGAATCCATTTGAGAATAGGGAATGAGTCTAGGTCTCTTACCACCACTGGAAAGTTCTGGCTCTAAATCAGGGGAGCGTTTCTTCGTAGTGATCATTGATGATGATGGAGCTGTTGAGCTAGACTGACGAGGTATTGGAGCCAAGATAGGTTGGAGAGTTGGTTCATCAATTGGCAAAGAATGTGGCTTTTCTTCTCCCTCGTAAGCAATACAGTTTGTAAAATCAGGGGCAATACAATGGGAAACACAAATCACTAGAAAAAACACTGGATAAAGTAACTGGGTACTACTGGTTGCAATGTGTTTGACCAAGGGACTCAGTATTTTGGGCCGAAACATTTGGGCCCATGATGACAAGGGGTTGGGCTTCAATAAGACTGGTGTGGGTACTTCATGGATTAAACAAGGTTTGACCCAACAATAATGAAGTTTCTTCTTGACAAGAGTCTGAGGAAGAAAAAGGTTGGGTATAATTTATCATAGTAGGATGGATAGTTGGAGTGGGTTCAGACATTGTCAAGCAAGAAGGCATATGCGAACTTTCAGTAGACTCCTTGGCTATAACAAAAGGGTGAATGTCACAGGTAACAAAATGTAGTCTAGGTAGAGCTTGTTTCAAAAGAGAGATTCCTTTGCTGAGAAGATTATGTGATAATGAGCTGGAAGTTGGATGTGGCAGTGGTGAAGATGGATCACACCAAGTTCTGAATGAGGTAGAGTTTGGCCTTGAGTGATATCAGTCATTGGAGCCTCCAAACCCCCATGCACAGAACCTTCAGGGGACATAAAGAGATCCTCCACAGATGGGTCAGAAGAATCTTGACGAAAATAAATTCTGCTTAACAAAAACTTTGGTATGAAGACCATTTTTTTTTCCCATTTCAACAAACCAATTAGACCAATTATATAAAGACATGTGAATATAAATAAAATTTTTATATTATATATAGGGTCATGTCTAAACCGAGTTTCAATTCTATTTTATCAGGCTGATTTTAAGATAAAAAATTGAACCAATATAATGAAAAGCCAAAACCATCTCAACTCAACCCATAGATGTTAAATTGGTTCGATAATCGAGTTTTGTAGGTATTTTGTGTAACTCTAGTTGTTGGAAAATTACAGTTTTTCGACTACTTTAATACGAAATTAAAGTAGGATCCAACTATCAATTGAGGTAAGTCTGAGTGGGTTGCACTACACAAAAAATGGGATAAAACCATTAAAAATTGAATACACATTGTCTCATAAAGTGGGCATAATGGTAAAGGTTTTGGGAAGGGGAAAATTCACTTATCCCACATTGGCGAAAGTTGAATACATTGATGAGTATTTATATCCTAAAGTTTTGCAAGGGTTTCGGACCTTTGGGCATCTAAATTTTTTGAAGGAAGTGAGATATAAATAAGTGGTGGATGGAATTGTGCCAAGACTATGGACCAAATTTGTTATTAAAAATTATCACACACTCCCCATTGTTGCCCAGACTAGACCGGACCACGTTTATCTACATGGGTCATGGAACTTTGTTAAGCATGTGTTTGGGCTTGGGCCGGGTCATTGGCCCACAACCCATATCCATTTTGGTGCACCCAGAACTAGTGGCTCTTGGATTTCCATATGGTTGGGCAACCCCAATGGCACCTAGACTGGACCGAACCAGGTCTAGGTCCATGGGTCATGGAACTTTGTTAAGCTTGTGTTTGAATATGGCCGGGTCATTGTCCCACAACCCATATCCATTTGGGTGCACCCAAAGCTAGTGGCTCTTGGATTTCCATAAGGTTGGGCAACTTTCTGCTCTCTTCATTTCGCCTCTTGTTCTCTTCCTCTCTCAAAGAGAGAAGAATGTACTCACAACTCACAGTAGGAATCTTCTATTTTGTTTATTTTTTATGTTCATGTCATCAAAATTGAATATGTTTAATCTCAATTATTTTACAACATTAGATAACAGTACTTGTGGTTCAAAATATATCAACAATATTAGATAGCCAGCAGTGCTGTAGGTGCATAGATACAAAATACAAAATAAAACAAAGATATCTCACAAAAGGTGTGTTGTGGAATATTTGTGTTTCATTCTTCATTTTGCATGTGTGCTTAGTTTTAGGGTTTTCTAAGCTGTCATTTCAATTTGAGAGAGCGTTTGGGCTTGATACGCTCATTTTGGGACCGATTTTGGTGATCTAAACTGGTTCATTTTTTAAGACTCGTTAAGTAGAATATTTATGTAAAAAATCAAGATAATTGGGCATCAGTAATTATATGTTTGACTAATATTTGTTTTAAAAAAACAGAAGATAAATATAATCTTAAGAATAGCTATTCATTTTTTATAATAAAAATTTGATTCAAATATATAGCTATCAATGTCTGATCATTTTGTTTTTTTGCATAAATATTCCTCTCAATAAATCTTAAAAAATAAACTATTTGAATCACCGAAATCGATCAAAAAATAGGTCTGTAAAACCCAAATGCTCTCACAAATTGAAAGGCCAACTTGAAAGAAACTCTTACTTTTATTGTTGGATAACAATAGCATGGGATCCAGGCCCCAAAATTATGTGTCCATCTATCCCACCCTATATTCAAAGTCCTTAATTAATTTGCTATGTGAAAAGACCTTTAGACTGGGACCAAGATCTTGGGGGACGGATTACTGCACATGTTATTAGAGCTGTTGGGTGCCTTGAAACTACACACCCACATTTAACATCTTGACAACCACCCAACGACCAACATGCCTCCAACCTACTTAGAAGCAATTCCCTATAAAATCAATCTACCAACATCACATGTGCACATGAAAAAACCAAACAAAACCTTGAGAGTCGTCATCATCATCATCCACAACAATACAACATTAATTGATTACCTAAAATAGCAATTGAAGAGTTTTACAAAGTCATGTTTTACCACTAAGCAAATCCATTATCCATAAATTAAACACATTACAGAACTAAACAAATTCTCTCTCTCTCTCTAAAAAAAAAAAAAAAAAAAAAAAAAAAAAAAAAAAAAAAATAACTCTTCCTCCTTCCATTATCATCTTCCTAGTTGGAGGTCAAATGATTATGATGCTGGCAACAAGGATGAATTCCCTTCATGGGTTTTGTGGTTATCTGCTCTCGGACTACTCCCAGCACTGCTGTTAGAAAGTGACCGAAATGTCATCTTCTGCAGGACTCCTGTAGGAGATGATGCTAACTGGGCGCTAGGGTTGGTGTCCCAGCCTCCGGTCATAAGGTTAAGAGCCGATGAGCTCTTACAATCACCTCCACTGCTGTTGTTAGTGCTATGCAATACCTCTCCAAGAGGTCCACCCAGTGAATTTTCCCACGATATAGGTATCCAATTCACTTGCCTTTGGTTTGGTTCACTCACTACACTGCCCACTCCCAAACCCATCTCAAGCTCTCTGGATGAGAGAGCAAGTTTTTCATTAGAGGGATCAGAGGAGGCAGCCACAGGGATTGAAATTGATAGTTGGGTCCTGTCTGCCTGTAGATCGACATTGGGCCATGAAACAGCAGAGCGATGATGATGATCAGTGTGGTTTTTGGGCCAGTCGTCCATGAATTGACGAACTACTGAACGTTGTGAGCCGTTTTCACGATCATTGAGGTCTTGGGAAGAACCATAGTTTCTGCAGCTGATGTGGGAAGAGTTTTTATGCAAAGGGTTAAGCAAGGAGTCGGAACAAACGAGTCCAAATTCAGATCGGGAGGATTCACCATACGGGTTCTGCTGCTGCTTTGGAATGCAATATTGGTTCTCTTTTAGGCCAATTGCAGGAGATAACATGCATAGGTCTGTTGCAGCTTGACTTCTCTCCCCCACATTCTCTTTGTTCAGAAAAAGCCTGTGTTATCATAATAGAAATAGGGAAAAGAAACAACCAATCAGTCCATGTTAACATACATATTTTATCGTCATTTGGAAGTTCTACAAACATAAAGCAACGGTGTACTTGAGAAGGAATATAAAGCTGCAAAAGGTGTATGCCAAACACATAATTGGACACTGAAAACAAATTCATGAATAAGACTTTTGAGGAGTGAGCTCTACCAACAAATCTTGCAAAATTTTGTCCATCCATGTACTTGTTGGGAAGGAAAATCTATGTATTAAGAGACTAAAACCACACACGATTCAACTATGATTGTAAACAAGCGGATCTAGCTAAGTAATCAGTTCAAATATAGTTTAAAAACTTAACTAGCTTAAAAAATATGTTTCAAGCTTTATATATGTATTTTTGAGATAATGTCAAACAAGTTATAAACAAATCAACTGAGTCCAAGCCAGACTCAGAAATTAACCGATTTCAAAATTTGTTTCAAATTGATTTGTTTACCTAACGAGTTGATCTCAAACCAATTTTTAAACAGCTGGACATGACTTGGGCAATTACATGCCAAAATATGATAAGAAGCGTTTTATTCACCTGTCATTAGCTGCACCAGGCTGCAAATTCTTGAGTTGAGGATGGCGGGAGAGGCTGTCAGGCACCCCCGATGCAGTTGTAGAGGAAGCCATCGGCATGAGCTTTGAGGTGGTGGTGGCGGTGGTGGGTCCGGAGACGGAATGGCCAGTTTGGCATTCCACAGGCTTTCTTGAACGATGGCGGCCCCTGTTCATGTGCCGCTCACAATATTTCTGGTCTGCAACTGCATCTCTCGAGCACCGCCATTTCTTTCCATCAGTCCGACGACACCTTCCTGGCTCAGTATCGGTGGTGTTGGAGAATCCCAGACGGAAAGCACCCCATCCAACTACCAAACATACAACAAAATATGGACACAATCAATTTAACAAACACACACAAGACATTGAACACCTGTGTTCTAAACCCCTCCAAGCCCAACTCTAGTGCTGGGTGAGTCTGTCTTATGCACAAATTTTGGATTTATGGGAGATTATCACCTATAATGAACTCAGTACTTGGTCAACAAACCCATATTGAAACCAGTAGAAGCATATATATGGGGATATTTTTTTTTTTTTTTTTTTGAAAAATGGGGTATATAGCAGCTAAAAACACTAAACTACACATGATTAGTGGAACTTGAAACTGATAGATAATTGATTTCCCATCTTCATGTATACAATATTAGAGAGAGAGAGCTTATACCCAATATCCAGGACCGACCAAGATTTCATTACCTGAGGAGTTAAAAGACAAATAAATTTTTTTACCATATACATAAGTACACATGTACAATATGATATATAAATTATATCTATATACAAAAAAATTCAAATATCACAGAAGTAATTTCTAATAGGATGAAAAAGTTTTTTTTAGTATAAAACAAAAAGAGAATGCAAGATGGGATAAGAATGACATGTATTTTTTATATTGGGGGCCATTTTATGTATAAAATGAGATATATATTTTTAAAATGCCATGACAAATCATATTTTTTACAAAAACAGGAGGCTATAGCCCCCCATAATCTTGTCCTAATTCCGTTCCTATATCAAGTGTGGCAGTCTCTGCATCAGAGATACATGGTCAAGAAAAAGTCTAGAAACATACAAACCGATCACATATCCTAACAAAACCTGTTATGTGATTGATGGCCCCCCAAATCCCCTATTCAACTAGACCAAAATACTCACAACCACTATTAAATCATGTGAAAATCTCAAAATGTAAGACATGACAAGGGAACAAAAGGATTTGAAACAGAGGATCAGTGCAGATATACAACAATTTATTTGCCATTAATAAATGTAGTTAAGTGGTAATATTTGGATAGTGAGAAAGAGATCAAACTTACAAGTAGTGGGTACTATATGTCCTCCTGAAAAGCCAGAGAAACCAGCAGAATCAAGGGCTTTTCTGATAGGAATGAGAAGATTAGAAGGAATAGGGACATTGGCAGTAATGTATTTGTAGATGAGGGCCTGCTGTTCATGGCCCCCCAAATCCCCTATTCAACTATACCAAAATACTCACAACCACTATTAAATCATGTGAAAATCTCAAAATATGAGACATGACAAGGGAACAAAAGGATTTGAAACAGAGGATCAGTGCAGATATACAACAATTTATTTGCCATTAATAAATGTAGTTAAGTGGTAATATTTGGATAGTGAGAAAGAGATCAAACTTACAAGTAGTGGGTACTATATGTCCTCCTGAAAAGCCAGAGAAACCAGCAGAATCAAGGGCTTTTCTGATAGGAATGAGAAGATTAGAAGGAACAGGGACATTGGCAGTAATGTATTTGTAGATGAGGGCCTGCTGTTCTAACTCCATCCATTGTGATGGAGTAAATGGGCCTCTCACCACTGTTAATCCCCCACGCATATTTGCACCATTCATGCCTCCACACCCATACCCTGAAACTCAATAACCAAAAGATTCAACTTTAAAATATGTGAGAGAAACATTAAGGTTGTGTTTGGATTGAATGTGAAAAAAAAAGTGGAAAAAAGCAAAGGTTAAGTGTATGAAGTAAAAATAAATAAATAATAATAATAATATTAATAATAATAATAATAATAATAATAACTTTGTCTGCAGCTTCTACAAACAAATTTTCAACAATTACTAGAACCATTTATGCTAACTTCAGTCTACTATGTTAAGTGTACAGCAAAATCAGAGTATGGAAATGGGATAAGAAAGGAAAAGTGTATTAGTAGAAATTAAAACTTGTCATTAAAACTTGTATTAGTAGAAATTTGACTTTTTACTTTCCATTTTTCTTCACTCCACAAATTCATCCAAACACAACATAAAAAATAAATGTAAAAATAAAAAGAGAAACAACGATTTTGTCTGTAGCTTCATACAAGTTACATTAAAAATATTTATAAAAAAAAATAAAAAATCATCAAGCCTTTGAACAATTATCAAAACTATTTACTGGTAGCTTCAGAGTCGACTATATTTAAGCGTAGAGGAAAATTTGGAGTATAGAAAGGGATATGGCAAGAAACTCAAAATTTAAAACTTGTCTGCAACATTTAAGGAGGCTACACCAATAATAGATTTCTTGTCTCTCATATGACAAGAAAACAAAGTAGAAATGAGAGTAAGTGAAAAAGAAATCTAAACCAAGATGGGTCTAATCTATTATTCCTCCTATCTTTTGCTTAATTTTTTTTTCTTCATTTGTACTCAACGGCTTCTTACCAACAATTTGGGTTTATATATATATTGACAAGACTCAAAAGCCAATACATCTTTATATTTTACATGAAAAGACCATCCGACCAGTACTGGGAATCAAAACCCAAATGTTTCCTTAATCACAAGTGTGTTGGAAACTTTATTCTATCTAATTTTCGTCTCACAGATATACCATCTCCCTTTTCCCAGCTTAACAAGCAAATATGAGAAATACCCATTACCCCAGAGTCATTTTTACTCCCCAAAATTAGAAACTTTTAAGATATATCACTTTCAATCCCTCATTTATATATAAAATATATATATATATTTTCTGAATACCCCACATAGCTAAAAAGCCTTAAAAAAATGGTCAATGTTATTACCTGTTGTATCTCTACCATAAGTAGTAGTAATTGATGAGTGGTGTTGATACTGAAAATAAGGCAATGGCACAGCTTGTGAGTTGGGTGAAGAGAAGCTGAGTATTTGCTGACCATCAGAGCTATTAGATCTCAACAGAGGACTTCTCAGCAATGCTGCCTTGGAAGCTGAGAAGTCATCTTCACTAGTAGTAGTCTTGGCCACTTTTAAGCAGCTGCTTCTCCAGTCATCTTCTTCTTCAGGCCTTTCTTGCTTATTGAGAAGCCATGATCCGTACAGCTTTTGCTTATTGGTGTGAGGAGGAATGGCACGGCTTGTGAGTTGGGTGAAGAGAAGCTGAGCATTTGCTGACCATCAGAGCTATTAGATCTCAACAAAGGACTTCTCAGCAATGCTGCCTTGGAAGTTGAGAAGTCATCTTCACTAGTAGTAGTCTTGGCCACTTTTAAGCAGTTGCTTCTCCAGTCATCTTCTTCTTCAGGCCTTTCTTGCTTATTGAGAAGCCATGATCCGTACAGCTTTTGCTTATTGGTGTGAGGAGGAGCATCTGAAGAAAAAGAGGTATATGGGTCTGAACCACCACCCACAAACCCATCTTCCAAACCCACCATTAGCATACCACCAACACCAAGATCCATCAAGAAATCAGCCTACTACTGAACCACTGGAGAGAGAAAATGAAGAAGCATTTGGGTTGGGTGGCCATTCATCTACAGAAGTAGAGTGAGGAGGGCTCGAGGTGTTGTGTTGGAGGGAGGACCATTTTAAAGGGTTCGGGTGTGTAGGTGTTATAGGAATGATTAAGCGGAGATGAGAAAGAAAGCTTTGCTTAGGGAAGGGGAGCAGCTGTTTGTGAAACAAAAATAATTGGAGAGAGAGAGAGAGGGTGGTGGTACATAAAAAAAAAAGATAGAATTTTTTTTTTTATTTTTTTCACTTTTTTTTCAGTTTTCACAATTTACTTTTTGAAAAATTCTATTTTTTTATTTTTTATTTTTATTGAATTTTTTAATATTTTAAATAATTTTTTTAAAATTTTTAAACATATCTAACATAAATATATTTAAAAAATATAATATTTCTGATTTTTTAAATTTATTTACTAAATACTAAAAATACAAAAGATAAATAAAAATTTAATATATTTTTCATATTTTTGTGTATTTATTAATTTTTTAAAATATTTTCCACAACTATTTTACTAATTAGATACATCTATGTAATTTGCATCTAAAAATGTAAAAAAAAAAAAATTACTTAAAATTTTAAAAATATTCACTAAAAAAAATACAAAAAATAAAAAACTCAATTTTTTAAAAATTAAATTCAGAAAATTGAAACTAAACACACAGAATGTTATTATTGTATTGTTTACAAATTTGATTATTTTAATTAGCTTTTTAATTTTTTTTTGATTATTTTATGAGATAAAAAAAAAGTTATATATGAGATAATTTGTAAAATTTTAATTTTGTAGTTGAATAAATGATTGTGAAAGAAATAAAATAATTGATTGATGTGTAGAATGTAATATTTTGTTTTATTAACTATTATAATTTTTTTTATCTTTATTAAATATTTTAACTAAAAAAAATTGTTCGGAACGTGCCTATATGTGAATATTTCGATAGTAATATTACAAATTCATACTTAATTATTCAGAAATTACCCATAATCATTATCTTATAGCTCAAATTTATTCCATACATAAACTTTACACCACACAAATTTAATTTCAACCACATAATCCCTTTCAGAATAAATTCCAAATAATTAAAGTGCAATTAATAGCATTTTTCATATTTTAAAGGGTTTAATATGTATTTTTGCAGATACATATACGGATCATAACACACATGGATACACGTATTTTTTCTCTAAACAAAAATGAATAAATAAATCATTTTTATCTATTTTTTTTTTTTTAACCTTATCTCAATATAGATTTATTTTTTTTTTTTTAACCTTATCTCAATATAGATATTTGTGTTTTCTATCTGAGAAATGCTTTACATCAATTTTTTTCCCCAAATAATATAGGGTAAATTATGAATACACCTCTGAAATTTGCTCAAAACATAGATTATTCCCTATAATTTGAAAAATTACAAATACTCTCATGTCAAAATTTTTTTTTGAATATAATTAACTGAAAAAATAAAATTTCTAACTGTTTTTCTATATAATAATAAAATGAGAAAATTATTGAAAAGTCAAATCTAAGGAGTATGAGACATTTGTAACACTTCTGAAAAATCCTTGTTTGCTTAAGCAGTGGGACTACCGCTCGAGCAGTCTATTGGGACTCCTAACACTTTATTTTGCAATCTGAGATACTAAGAATTTGTTTTCTTCACTCGAGCATATGTTTTACCGCTTAAGCAGTCTTATATCTCCCATGCTTGAGCGCTCGTTTCATCACTTGAGCGATCTGTTTGAAATCAGTTATTTAAAAGTCACTTTTGGCTCAATTTTCCTCACTTTTCTCTCTCTCTCTCTCTCTCTCTCTCTCTCTCCTTTTGGCCATTTGTGAGCTTCCAAGCTCATTAACCCTCAATTTCATCCACTTTTAACCATCTTTAACCCCTAGTTTCATATACCAAACGTAGAACACAGTAAAATCTTTCTTTTATCTAAGCAGTTCTTCTTTTTCGTCGTTGGTGAATTTTTGAGTTTTCTCCTTTTCACTTTACGAAGTAGGGATTTCTTTGACTATCTTCAATACAATCTTATAAATAGATATGTGGTATTTTCTATTGTATTAAAAATGTGATTTTGCGAAGAGATTTTCGAAATGCATGTAGATGGTAGTTAGGGTTTTAAATAAAAAGAGTAAGTCTTATATTTTAGTATTGATTATGAGAAATTGGTGTCAATAGAACATGATTATGATGATGGAGATAAAAATCCCTATTAGACATATTGTATTTTGATGATTGTTTTTTATTTTGTTTTGGTTTATTTGGAAGATCAAAATAGATTAAATTCTTATGATTTATTCCATGATATTTTGATCCTTGTTTATATACTAATCATGTCATTTGGAGATTCTAAATGAGGCTTAAACAGGTACCAAACCAGTGCACCAAAGCAGCAGCAGAACACATGAGGCCAAAACTGACACAAGGCGATCGACTGGCCAGATGGCCGGCCAGTCGACTGATCAGGCCAAATTTTGGGAATTTTCTTCTGCAGCTTTGGGCAGGCTTGGACGACCAGACAGACATCCAGGCGGACATCCGGGAGGACGATCGGCCAAGGCATTTAGGCCCAGTTTCATTCCAGTTCAGTTCTATTTCGCTTCGGATGTCAGACCACAATATGCTTGACGACTATGGATAACACCCTTGACAATCGGGTCTTCATGGAACATTCGGGCGGACAACCCATAGACACAGAACTTCACTTGGGACATTTGGGCAGACGTCCACTGCACAGAGAACTGTTATATCAGTAACAGATGCTAAGAAGAGAAAACAAAGGTTTTTCATTAGATGACCCATCATTCAACGTGAAAAAATGTCAGGGAATATCTATATAATGATTTATATATTATCCTCAGCCATCACTAACGCATCTCTTCAACGGGAAGAAAAGAATGGGCACTGTCAGAAGAACAGAAGAGCAGAGCACTCAAATCTGTATTATATACAGAGCTCTAAACAAACAGCTGAGACAAACAACTGATACAGAAGACAAACAACTAATACACACAATTCTTAATCTTTCTTCATTCTCATCTTTCTCTATTCTCTAAATTGTTCTTCAACTGAGAGTTCTTCTTCTTTAGAAATATACAGAGCCTTTAGCCTTAAGCATATATTCTAGTGAGAGAATTTACAGAAAACTCTGAGCTTCAATATTGTATATCTATCTTTGAGAGATTAATTTTGTAATTTTCTTTGAAAGAAAAAACATCTTCATTTCGATCTTGTAAAAGTGTAGTACACTCAGGTTTCTTCACTCTTTGAGTGTCAATGAAAATCACCTAAGGAGTGCAATGGTTTGGACTTGGAAAGTCTGTGGAGAATCTGTGGAGGATTGCTCTATTTGTGAAGAGATTGCTAGCACCCCTGTGAGGCTAGAAGATAGTGGAAAATCTCAAGTGAAGCTTGAGGAGTGAATGTAGGCTTGGTTGAAACTGAACCACTATAAATCTATTTGCCTCATCTTTTCTAATCTATTTTATTTTCTTTACTGATATAACTATCTGATATACTGACTGTGTTGATTTTGTCATTGCTATATATGTTAGAGTAATTGTTGTTCTCGTGCTAATCATCTAATCTCTTCAACTATACAGCTATCTAATATTTTGTGCTATCTACCTTACTTGACAAACTTCTCTGTGTTAACAATACTTCACTAATATAGCTGACAAAGTATTTGTTATTGTTGTGCTAATCATCAAATCTCATCACTCACCTTATATAGCTATCTGATATTTATCTTTCATTGAGTGTTAAGAGCTATAATTGCTTATTTATCTATATCACAATCTGTTAAGTCAAAAATCATTCACTGATATTTTCTCTTTGTAATTAATCAAGTTATCTTCCTTTCATTAGCTATATATCTATTGCTTGTTCATCTTAAGCTTCTAAACATCTTATTAATATTTTGCAATACTAGTTGTAATTTTTATTGGGGTATTAGGTTTTTTTTTTTTTGTAGAAACCTAATTTACTTCCCTCTTAGGTTGTCTTTTGGATAACAATTGGTATCAGAGTCTAGACTCTTGCTTAGATTTAACCATCTAAGAGTTTTCGATCCATGGCAATCATAGCTAGTACTAGCACTGTTGAAGGTCAAGCCACCAATATGCCACCCTTGTTTGATGGAAATAACTATAGCCATTGGAAGGATAAGATGACCCTATATCTTCAAGCCACCGATTATGCTATGTTGATTATAGTCACCCTTGGTCCCAAAATCCCTACCAAATTAGTGAACAACATTAGTGTGCCTAAAACCGAAGATGAATGTGATGAGAAGGATCATTGATTGTTGAAAGCCAATGCCAAAGCAAAACTCATCCTTGTATGTGGTTTAGACTCTAAGAAGTATAATAGAATATCTAGTTGTGACAAACTTGAAGTTACTTATGAAGGCACCAACTAAGTTAAAGAATCTCATATTGATATGGTTGTTCATAGTTATGAATTGTTTAAAATGAAATATGATGAATCTATTTCAAGCTTGTTTACTAGATTTACTGAAATTGATTTTTTTTTTGAAATCTCGTGGCAAAACAAATACTAACAGTGAGTTGGTGAGAAAAATTCTTAGCGGTTTACCAAAGAATTAGGAGGCTAAAGTCACAGCCATTATTGAAGCAATGAACCTCTCAACTCTTGAATTAGATGAGCTCATGGGTTCTCTAATGACTCATGAAATCACTATGAAAGAACACGAGAATGATGAGGACAAAAAGAAGAGTGGAATTGCATTCAAAGCCTCATCCCATGAAGAAGAAAATGAGGACTCTAGTGAAGATAACGGATATGGCATATTTAGTAGAAATCTCAAAAAAAGAGCAATCATGGAGGAAGAAGACCCTTTAAGAAAGAGTACAATAAAGATGACATCCAAATCATTTGCTATGAGTGCAAGAATCTGGGACACATCAAGATGGATTGTCCAAAATTGAAGAAGCTTGGAAATGACTACAAAAGGAACAAGAAGGCCATCATAGCAGCTTGGGGAGAAAGTGATAATGATAGTTCAAATGATGAAGTTGAAAATGATGAAGTAGTCAACCTTTGTCTAATGGCTCTTAGAGATGAAGAAACTACTCAAGATGAGGTAACTTTTAATTATGAAGAACTTGAGAGTGCTTTTAATGAA